GATTTCCTCAATGTGTCCTATCCACTTCCGGTGCTGCATCCTGATTTCTTCCTCCGCTAGAACATAGTATTTTTCTCCCACAGTAGGTTGTTGCTGATTGCGTCTGACCAAAGGATCCGAATTATTTTGCGCAGGCAACCGTTAATAAACTCTTGTAATCTCTGGATGATGAATTCGGTAGTTTATCAAGTTTCCATCTCACACAATAGCACTGTCTTGACATTTGTATTGAAGACTCTGATTTTGGTATTTGTTGACAGTTATTTCGGGTTCCAGATGTTGTTCAGTCGTATAAGTGCTTCCTTCGCTTTGTCGATCCTCGCATTCACATCTGCGTCAGATCCACTTTGCTCGTCAATGATGCTGCCCAGATATGTAAAGGTTTAAACGTCCTCCAAAGCGTCCACATCGAGGGTGATTTGTTTGATGCATGTTGTGTTGTATTGGAGAATCCTGCTCTTCTCCTTATGTATGTTGAGACCTGCTGGTGCTGAGGTTGTCGATACACTGGCCGTCTTCTCAAACATTTGTTGTCGCGTGTGCGATAGAAGAGCCAAATCATGTGAGAAATCCAGATCGTCCAGCTGCGTCCTGGCTATCCGTTGTACCTCGTCCATCCCTCCAGATGTTAACATCTCCATAATCCAGTCGATCACTAGGAGAATTAGTGAGGATGACAGGGGGCAACCTTGCTTGATACCGGTCTTCATAAGGATTGCGCATTATGTTGACTATCTTCTCAGGCTTGCCATAATGTTTTCCTATCCACGCTATCGAATGCTTTCTCGTGGTCAGTGATGTTGATGTATAGTGGTGAATTCCATTCAACAGATTGTTCCACAATGATCCGTAATGCTGCGATTTGGTCCGTACACGATCGATCCCTACGAAATCCAGCCTGTTGATCTCGAATTTTGGCATCTACGAAGTCCTTCATTCTGTTTAGCAACACCCTGTTGAAGACTTTGCTTGGTATCGAAAGAAGAGTGATGCCTCTTTAGTTCTCACACTTGCTGGGATCGCCTTTCTTTGGTATTTCTATCAGGTATTCTTCTTTCTAGTCTGATCGTACATGTACTTCATCCCAAATCTTGTTGAAGAGAATGTGAAATGTCTTTACAGTTGTTACCACGTCTGCTTTCACTGCCTCTGTTGGAATGTTGTCTGGTCCCGCTGCTCTGCCACACTTGATTTGTCTGATGACCATACTGATCTCTTCAGTTGTTGGTAGGCCAACATCGGTTGGGAGGTCCGTGGATGTCGCTTCGGCTGGTCTATTCAAGAGTTCCTTAAATTGCTTTACCCACCTGCTTCGCTGTTCTTCAATGTTGCTGACTACGTTGCCTTCCTTGCTTTTCACTAGTCGTTCTGTTTTATGATAATTTCCAGCGAGCTTCTTTTTGTATCGTACGATTGTCTCAATTTTCTTTTTCTTGCGTCCTTTTCCGCCGTCACTGCTAGATCTTCCACATACCTACGTTTGTCGCATTTGATGCTCCTCTTCACCTGCCTGTTCGCCTCTATGTATTCATTTTGTGCCTTTGTTTTTCCGCTTTTGTTCAGTTGATGTTGATTGCTGCCTTCTTGTTCCTCGTTTCTTGGGCTTCATCAAGAGTAACAACAGAGGTCCACTCCTTATGGTGGCGCTTCTTGAGGCCCAGAACCTCCTGACATGTCGAAGTGACTGCTTTCTTGATCCTTTTCCAATTGTTCTCCATGGTAGTCTCCTTTCCATTGAGTAGATCGTGAAAAACATTGAACCTATTGCTAAGGGCTATCTTAACTTCGTTGAGTTGAATTCGCGGAGTTTATCACTTCTTAGTTCACTTATACTAGTGGATTGATTGATATGTTGCTTTTAGTCTGCAGTTGAGTTAAGGACAGATGATCATTTATTAACTAATAAGTTAGTTTGCGCAACCTTACTTTATATATTTGAACTGGTAACCCGTTTCGACTTCTTGATTATTGTTTATTTCTTATCAAAATACAATAAAGAAGGTCACAGTCCAGAATATCTCAGCACCATCATTATTTGCGGTTCGTGTGTTAATCGGTCTCTAAATTCATCAACTATGACACATTTTCATTAACCGTATTTTAGTATATGTACCAGCTCATTGTAATGCAAAACTTATTGTTCAGCGATTCAGATGAAGCTTGTTCGAATAAAAGTTTCTTAAGATGAGAAAATATTTTTCTTGTACCTGAGATGGTTTCCTCAAATCGCATAAACATAAATTTAGGGTTCTCTCGTGGCTAGTTACTGAAATATTTTAAGCTACTTTCTAGTTTATTTTACACCATAATAAATAAATCTAACGTCTGTACCTAATGTTTTCGGTGAAATAGACTTAATAGACCCTTATAGCCGTTTTAGACTGACCATTAAATTTGCAACAAATGAGTAGTCAATTTTAGTAGGCAAATCACGAAGACTCAAGTAATAAAGAATTGTTGATATATATAATGGTGCATTATTAGTGCTAGTTCGTCACATAAATTGTTCATGAATACTCTTTGCTTGATTGTTCAACGTGACTAACCATACTGAAAATTTATCGAAGATCAGTCTTCGAAGGTAAGTTTAAATAAAAACCACAGCCTTTGTGTTCTGCTTCATTCGTGTTGTTTCCATTGTCCTAACTGATTTATGTAACTTAATATTAGATGATTTTCGAGTAAGAAACTTGTCATCAAAGGTTTTTAATTTAGTTCACTATTTCTAAGAATATTGACTCTACGGAATTACTTAGAAGAAAATGTACTTTGTTATTTGATTACTTGAAAGAGTAACAGCATATGCATTTTTTTGTAGTTACACTAAAAACAAATTTTGGGGTTCACTAACAGAAGCCTAGTAGATTGTTCAGTATAACAGAGGCGCTCATGTCACTGGTTTTAGATTTCTTTGTTAATATATGAACGTGGTTGTTGTTCTATCCTTATAAAAGTCATGCGAAAACCCTTTAAGGTCTTATATATATCTTACATAATGCTTTTAAAATGACTGCTTATTTGGTTGATCGTTCAAACATCTGTCAAAAAGTCATTGGAAAAATATACCTGTTGCTATCTGTATAGTAGTCAGATAGTATGAAATATCACAAGAGACATGGTAAGATAATGGAATATCAAGTCACCTGTAGGTCCCAAGGTTACTTATAAGGTAAATTTACTTAGTAATATTGAGAGGCATCCGGTTTGTAGTCAGTTGAAACGGGTAAGTTCATGCAGTAAAACATGACGTTATTTGCTGTATCTCCTGTAAGACTGAGAATGACTTCCAGTATGACTTCTTCTTTTTATATGGTTGTTATATCAAATGGGTCTCAAAAGACTTTCAAGATTTACCTAAAAATAGCACGCAAGCCATGGGATTAGTTCTTAAAACATGACAGATGGATATTAGAAAAGTAAAACCGCAAAAGTGACCATTCTTCGTATGTTTTAAGTATGGGCTTGATAAAAAATTTTTGTGGTTTTTGTACTAACTGGAATAATGTCGTTTAGGTTCTTTTCGCATGTTAGTAGATACACAACTGCTTGATAGTGTGCGAATACAGAAACAATTTTCCACCTTTCTTTTTGTTTGATGGTATAAACTAATGTAATTTTTAAAGTCATTTATATTTTCCACTTTTTATACGAAGGAGATATATATGGTAAACTGAACATCCAATTGTATTATTTTCGAAGAATATATATATAATTTATGATTACAGTCGAAACGTTTTTGAAAGAAAGTTGCTTTTTCTCGAGACATTTATCTATTTTATTACATTAACTATAGAATTCCTGTATACTCTTTACGGCTAAGAGATTTTTATGTTAACATGATTTTTAGTGAATCAACTCTCTGTATGGGTTTGTTTAAAGTATAATATCTCTCCATTTTAAACCTAATGACTTAGAATGAACGCGCTTTAAAGAGAACCGTTTGCCTTTCATCTAGAATCAGTGTATGCAGACGTTGTGACGGGAAAGATGGTAAGTGTAAGTAAATTTTACTAATCGATTTTGAACACTAAAACCCAAGTGCATGTCTCATGTACTTAAAATGGGCTCAGTTTCACTAAAACACCTAATGTACGTAACTGTTATCTTTATTGCGATTTGAGTGGTTATTGTTAAGTGAAACACTGACAGAAGTTTGAAAAATTGGGTTCCTTTCGTTAAGAATGGAAGTGAATTTTATAGACTGTAAAAATATAAATATAAATTTACAAATGTAACTTCTGCATGAGTGATTTTATAATTACTTTCAAGTATTTGCTTCTTGATTAGTCTATTTATTATAAAGATTTTAATGGTTGCAGGTGTAGGGGAAAATCAAATCTTCAGATACTTGACAATAGATCTTGATCTTATCTGGTAAATCTAGATAATTGTGTTGATATATTAGGAAATTTTACTAACACTACGACTAGAGACGTTGATTTACAGTTAAGTTCCGTACACGTTCAACAAATAGTACTAGAATCGCAAGCATAAATGTTACACAGTATCAGATAATTCGCCTCTGCAAAATGTGTATTCAAATCTGTGTATTTATATGGGTTTAAATATGTTTGTAAGCAGCTGGTCAAAGAATACCCTATTTATTTCCCTAAAGGAATAGAAGTAGACATTTTTTGATAACACTAGTTAGTTTGAGAAACGCCTAATTTACTTGGACAACAGGAAATAATAAGCTTTAATATAATAGAATGTGAAATGAAGCCGCGTCCTCCGAACAAGACTGGTGAAAATGTATTATACATATTTTTGTTTTCCAACGATTAGATTTTATACTTGTCGATTCAACGGAATTGGTACCAGGAGATTTAATTGCCATTCCTACTGGTGGATGTTTGATGCAATGTGATGCAGTATTATTGACGGGGAATTGCATCGTGAATGAAAGTAGCTTGACAGGCAGGTTTTAAAATATATTATTTTTCAGATCTGTTTAGAACTGTCTGGATATTAAATTCATCATGAAAGTTTACAATAATTCTATTTATTGGGGTTCTGTTTTTTCTCATTTTTGTACTGGAAAAACAGCTTCGTCACTGTTGACAAAATACAACTAGTGTTCACAAAAATATTTTGGTAGCCTAGCATTTCAAGGTACCTGGTTTTATAGTTTATTTGGGCGCAGAGAGGAGCCATTATCTCCATTTCGTCCTACTGACTGTATTTCTGATGGAGAATCTTTCAAGAAACCCACCCTTCAACAAAAGGCTAGACATTCAGATGTGGTAATCCTAGCTGGCGTTTAGACTGATTCTACGGCATTGCAGCACAGCAAATAGATAGAGATGAGTGCCTGTTTCAACCTTTCTAGCGAGGAATAACTTTAAAAGGAAGAAAAGACATCTTCTGACAGGATGAATACTGAAATCGATTCAACAATGAACTTGAATGAACGTCGTCGCAACCATTAGTCATTGTACAGGGGATGTATATGACGTGCTAATTTAAAAGCACGCATATAAACTCTGATTGCGTGTTTGCCTGCATCTTTCTGGAAGTAAATGCGCAACAACAATAAAAGTGTAGCCTGATGATGGAAAAGTCAGGAGTATATTAGAGAAACATCTAGAGAATCAGCTGTTAAATAACCGAAGCGATGTTCAGTCTGGTGTTTGCTGGTCTGATATCTGAACAGCTGTGAAAGCAGCCTTGATATATACCAGTGGCATAGTTCACAAGATTAAGAAATATATGCGGTGTCCATTGAATTGATAGATGCTCGGATGCAAATCCGTCAGGCTTGTGAACACAAATGAGGAGCGGAAACAATCTAAATGTAGACTGACTAAAGATTTAAATAATGACAGTGAATGTTTGAGGGAGAAGATTTAGAAGAGATGAAAAATGCTGCAATGACAGATAACAAAAGACAACGTTCTAGGCTTGTCAAAGAACTAGCAATTAAGTCAGGTATTAGCGAAACTTCATCGAAATTAGACAATGATAATCATCGTAACAATAGTAAGTTTAATTAGTCTTGTAAAGTTTGTTGTGGTAATTAGTTAACACTGCAATAAATTTTCTGCGCTTCATTCAAATTTTAATGATAGCCAGTATCTCCCGATCATCTCAAATCTTTCTGTTATTACTTTTCAGTTTTTGAAAGAACAGTGAAGTGTGAGAGTCAGCCAAAAAATTGTAGTGTTTCCGTATGAGTTTTGTGATTGTCAGCATCTCCATAATTTATGGTCCTCTTTGTAGAAGTGCATGAATGCATGCACCTAGCGTTCATGATTATTAAATTAAAGTAAATCTAAATCAATAAGGTTTACTAAAATATTTATCATTAGATCTCCCGAACATTTGAGCAGATAACCTGATAAATTATGTCAATTATTGGCAACTTAAAATCCAATAAAATTATTTACAGTACTAACACAACTTGCTCAATGAAACAAACACTAAACTGTATTGCTCTGAAATAAAAGTAGGATGGAGAAAGCTATTTATTTTAAAATAATTATCATCAACTGTAATAATTTCATTGATACATGTTTAATTTGGAAGATTACATTGTTTGTTTACTTTTAATAAATGTTTAAATTGAATTAGACACCCGAACTTCATAACTTTTGTTAGCTTTATTCTTATCTCTTTTGTATGAGCGCCTTCTTTATATATATATTGTAAAACTGTGACCACCTAACGTGTACACATTTGTATAGAATCGACGATATCTGATTAATTTTCATGTGTCAGGCACCTTGAAATGTGTGTAATGTCAGGGTTTGGGGTCGCTTTATATGTGGTCGTATTTGCAATAGAGAGAATGGTTATTTATACATGTAGTTTAGTTAATTGAAATAATTATATAAGTATTGATAGAAACATTTCCCTTGTTATTTTGCCATTCGTATCAGTGTAGATAAAAAAAGAGTTCAAACTATCTAACATAGTCAAACATTTTAACAAAGAATTAAAAAACATACACGGATTTAAATTAATTCATTCTAATCGCATGGTATTTCATTAACCTCAAAATGAATAATTGACAAAGTTTTAACATAGTGAATACACGATTCAGTTACAAGGATATCAGCTAGGTAGTTATTCTGGAAAGCATATGACAACTTGTCCTAAATGATGATTAGTTCAGCGGTTTAAAGTTACCAAATAAGCTAGATCAATCAGTTCAATAAACACACAACTGACAACCAAGGTAGTTGAATCTTGCCCACACTTTCATTTAGGTATTTAGAACTAATATCAAACTATGGAAAGGAATCCATCTTGTTCTTACACCCTTTCTCTACCGCATAAAAGATATATAAAATTTGAGCATTAGGTTGTCCCTCAATGTAAATAAAACTTCACCTGGAGCTCTTCTAGGGTTACTGGCGGTCCAAAGCCCTGATAAAAGAAGTGGGTTAGGGATAGGGTTAGCAACCTCATCCCGTAGAAAACAAACTTACTAAAAATCGCTAACTAGAAAAAATAATTTAAACTCGACTCTGGTGGTTGGAAGGTCTTCATTTAGAAGAGTTACGAGGCCTCATGAAGAAATCCGAGTTTCTTCAGAAACCGAATGGATGATGCCCATACTGATAAGCAGAAGAATAATTAATGGAATGTTCGCACAATAAGGGAGACCGAAAGGACTAGTCAAGTTGCTAAAGACGAAAAGATGCAACCTAGTGGTACTTGGAATAATTGAAACCTATAGGACGCAGACCGCACAAAAAGATTAGCTTCAGGCTCAATGCTGTTGTACTGTGGCTATGAAGAATAAAATGCCTCACCTACACCAGCAGTTGTACTGACGCTGTTCAAAAAAGCGCAAAACGCACTTATAGGATGGGAATTTCGTGAACCCATTCAGGACAAAATAGAAGGGAATTACAATGGATGTAATCTAGTGCTCTGCGCTAACCAGCGATAATAATGAAGTAATAAAGGTCAGTTCTAAGAGAATGTAGTTCGTTGTTGAGAAATGCCTAGCAAACGATTTGACCAGGCTGATGGGAGGCCTAAAAGCCATGGTTGAAAATGACAACGCTGGATACTAAGACATCATGGGACGACATGGATTGAGAGAAAGGAGAGAAAATGGTGAGAGGTCCACAAATCTATGTACTTCAACAAAACGGTTATGGCATGCACAAAATTCTCGCGCAAACGCAAACAAAACGCTACGTGGGTTTTACTTGACCACATTGTGGAAAACAAAATCATGGCGATATTATGGGAGTTCCTCCTACGATACGGTGTACCTCAAAAAGTATTCAACATTACACAGTCTTTTTACGATGAATCAAACTAAAAAACATGCATGGAGGACTGTTTATAGACTCATTCCAGGTGAAAATCGATGTCGAATCAGGGTGGTTACCCTCAACCTTTCTCTTTCTTCAGGTAATTGGCTGCATTATGAAGACTTCAACATCTCTGGGGAAGAAAGGAATAAAGTGGACAGCTAAGCGACTTGGATCTCACAGATAACCGAGCTCTTCCATCCCCTACAGTATCAAGTCCCGATGAAGATAGCCAGTGTATCAGCAGCCTCTACAGCAGTAGCTCGACACAACATGAGCGAATCAAATCACACTTGATAAAGAAGCTCTGGGAGGTGTGATTATGTTTACACAAATGGGCAGCATCAGTGATATACAACGATGTCTGATGCGAACGTGAAAACACGGGTTGACAAAGCAAGGACAACATTCCGACAATTGACGGGACTAAAAACAACAGCAGTCAACGCAAAGTCAGACTTTTCAATATAAACGTCATGATAGCTCAATTGAATTGGGTGGAAACTTGAAGAACTGTGAAAGCCATCTTCCTAAAAATACTGGTGTTGTGTATGAGTGATTTCTCGGATCCGATGGCCAGATATCACCTTCAACGACTAACTATAGTAGAAAACAAACCAGATTACAGTCGGGGAAGAAATCAGGTAAAATAGCTTGAGGTGGATAGGATATAAATTGTGGAAATCACCCAACTAAGTCACAAGACAACCTATATCTTGAAATTCTGAAGGACAAAGAAAAAGACCAAGACCGAAGAACAAATTGCGCTGGGAATCGAAGACATACGTTAAAAAAATGAATAGCATCTGGTAAGAACTCCAAAATTCAGCCCAGGACAGATTTGGTCACAGAATCGTGGTTGACTGCCTACACCCCATGAGGGTTAATAGGCGTGATTAAGTAGAAGCAAATCAGTCATTTACGTGGAAATTATTTTAGAGTAATTGATTAAAATGTATATTATCTGGTTGTCATCGTAAATATTTTATTTGATATCAGGTGAAAGCCTTCCGATTACAAAAATCCCACTACCCAATGGACAACATGAGAATACCTCATTTGATTTCCGTTCATGCTCACGACATATTCTTTTCAGTGGGACATCTGTCATTCAGACACGGGGTGATATAAATAAGCGTGTATTAGCTGTAGTTATCCGAACCGGATTTATGACCACCAAGGGAGAACTTGTACGGTCTATCATGTTTCCAAAACCTATGAAGTTCAAATTTACTCAGGATGCCTATCAGTTTTTAGGAGCCCTTTGTGCTGTGGCACTTGTTTTTCTCTGTATCACAATTTATCTCATGGTAAGTTCAATCGATGACAATATTCCCCTTACTGCTTCAATTTATTACTGGTATATTTTAAAGAATAAGTTACCACACAACAAAACTGATTAAAACCATTCGTTTAATGTTGCGATTATTTGGAATAAGTTACACAATACTCTTCAAATCGAGTAGTGTCAGGCTATATATCATTTCATACATATCATTATCAAAATAAATATTCAGTAACGAACTAGTAGAGTTGAGTTACGGTTTAATCGATTTGATGAATGAATTTTATAAATTGTTTTGATACTCTTTGTATAAACACTAAAATATCTTCCGAAATATAGGTTATTAAAAAAAGGCTAATATATCTCTTTTTGTTCATTTGAAACCGATTCATTATACTTGAAAATGTAGGCAATATGTAATTAAAGATTGTACCATGCATTTCAACATCATTATATTGAAACAAGGTCAAATATATTCACGTCAGTTCTGTATATTTTTTCTGTCTACTGAACAATAAAGATATGATTTCACTTAGTATTACACATACAATTTTTCAATATATTTCTGGGTTGTGTGTGGAAGTGGAATACAGGAATCATGTTTTACTTTAGTTGGAAATTTTCATTTCGCTAGACAGTTATACTCATTATCGATGTTTACATTGAGAATTGAATTCAGTTCAAATTCAGTTCTGAATACCAACAATGGGGAAATGCGAACGCCTACAACTGATTACATATACAATATTTATTGGGATTCATTGTAATATATATTACACAGTGGATTATTTTACATTCTACAATTTGTCAGAAGTAACTATTTTTCACTGTGTAAAGTTTGATGGTGGTATCTTGTTAACAGGGAATTTAGAATTGGAGATATCGTTTGACTTTAAATAAGAAATTTGTTTCTGTTCAGTAGTTGCTTTAATCTTCAAGTAAACAGCGTGAGATTAGCACGATAACTATTTCTGACGCATATTATTTCCAATTACAAAACGTATTGGTATTTTTCATTTTCTTTTATGCTTAAATTTACTTATCATTATTTGAGTTGTTGTGAGTGGAGTGTCATTTCAACACTGTAATTAATAAATACCTCATTACTATTTATCTCTTTTTATAAGGTTCAGTTTGTAAACAAATTTTGGTTTTTTAAATTTTAAATGTTGATTTCAACTAGTACTGGAATAACAAGGACTTGTACTACATTATTTTGAGACCTTTGGATATAGTAACAATTGTGATACCACCTATTCTACCAGTCGCAATGAGTGTTGGAATCGTTTTTGCTCAACGACGACTTCGTAACCATGGTATATATTGTATAAATCCAAGCGTTATGAATGTTTGTGGTGTGATAAATCTTACTTGTTTCGATAAGGTTTGTGATGTGTGTTACTTGCTGTATTCTTAAATCTGATATTTTAATTTTATTTATTGTATTGTTGGTTTAAATGAATAAAAGTGCAGTTTATTTGATAGAGATTGATTCATTCAGGAAGCACCTGACACACATGACACTTGTTGATCAATTGTAAATACTTCTAACTCCTACAGGAGATCAGTCGCTACTCGGATATCTCAGTGGCGATTTCTCTAACTATGAAACTTGGTGACACGGGATTGAATCCGCTAGATAGCATCAACTCCCTCAAGATTGTAGGTAAAACTTATTGACGAGAGCCAAATAACACCAAACCCAGGTCGAAGGTTTCCTATCGACCAGAACATGTGAAATCTCTGAGAAAAATCATCTAAACTAACGGAGACGCAGTTATTTCTTGATCATATCATACAGCAATATAAATTTCATGGAAATATTTATTTGTGATACTTTTGAAAAAAAGTATCAAACTATTTTTCGATTGTTATATAGTGCTTTCAGTTTCATATTAAGAATATTAGAATCTACCGAAATGCCAAGATTTTATTAGTTTTCTTCTCTCGAATGCATAAAATTAAGTTTATCGAGTACGATAAACTATCCTATTTAGAATGTTATGATATGAATTCTTTACTTTTTTGAAATCTATTTCTTCACTGGTTACTTATCTCTTCCTATAGAAATTATGACGTTTTTCAAAACTCTGCATTTTACATCTGTCATTTGTATTGATCAACATGATTAGTTAAACTGGAGGTGGTCTGTTGATGGTATCACTACTAAAACTCTCGGTGCACATATAACATAGTGAATGTTTTCTTGTGATTGACTGTGTTGTTGTACCTGCTCATTTTCAAATGAACACAGCTATATCTGTACTGATAGTTGTTTCACTGCTGAGATTGTACCTTAATGATGGTTTAATTTAAAAATAGCAGTTAGTATTTAATTTAAAAGTCGCTGTTTATGGTTATGCATCTGTTTTACACAAGGAAAAAAGTGTTTGGTACAACTTGCATTATTGCCTTAAATTTGTCCACTGGAGAAAAGTTTATTCATACTTAGTCTAGTTATTCTTAAATAAAAAGTATATTTGAAACAGACAATAGTAAAATATAATTGTGGAACAGTATGTGAATGAATGATCCGCTAATAATTCAAACATTTTCGTCACTGTACCCGTTAATGTACATAGAACTGGTTGTTCTATTAACTAAACAACATTAGAGTTGATTCAAGTCTATCCAATTTTTTTCAAAATATTTACAGTATTGATTTTCGTAGTAATTTTGAGTTGGCAATTTTTCCGAGGAACTATCTATATCTTTTAATAATTTCTCATTTATTGCTGTTCGTTATCTTTTATTGTATGAGATTAGACTGGCACGCTAACTGAAGACGGGTTAGATCTATGGGGTGTAATCCCAAACAAAGATGGAGTTCTTGGAAAGCCTGAGTTCGAACCATCAAAGTTAGGCCATGGGCCTTTGATTGAATGCATGGCTACTTGTCATTCACTAACTCGAATTGAC